GGGTTATGCGAAAACATAGATGTCAGGTTTTGCATAATCAGCTAAACTTCCTGTCCGCCATCTTTTCTTCTTTGAAAAACCTTCTTTTCGAACTCCTCCTAGACCGTTTGTCCGATTTTCACGAAAATTGATCGTATCATCTCCAGACAGTGCCAAATAAAAGTTATGGATTGCGTGACGATAGACAAAACCGTTTTCGAATATACCACAGCATCAAATTTGAGGCATGCTGCAAAATGACTATTTAGGCTTTATCTCTGCAATGCCTTCACATTTTGACACCAAACTTTGCCATGTGTCATTGTCACCTCACTCTGACCACATCACATCTATTTTGTAACTGCGCCACCTATTGTTCGAAAGTGATAACCCATTAAATCATATTATAAGTTAATGTTTATGTGATTTTCTTAGCCATTTGCCCAAGTTCTCTCAAAATGCCCTTAATTGCTCCTTGCTGCAGTTGGTCTGCCACTCCTTGCCATTTTGGCATATGTTGCCGCTTCTTGCGCTTGGCCCCGGAAGGCTGCTTGCAGCTATATTTATTATTATTAGGCAAGCACCGAAGGTGCGGAGGCACCTATTGTATCTGTGCCGGTTTATTATTATTATTATTCTTCTTCCGACTGGGCGTCTATGGCAGCCCATAGACCGGTTTGCGGGAAAGTTGTTTGGTTTGACATTCTGATAGAGGACAGTCCCAACTTTAAATACACAATTTTGGTGTCTCTAACTCATTCCCTCTAGCGCCACCAACTGTCCAAAGTTTCACTTTTATTATGCTAATAACTTTTGAACCGTAAGGCCTATCAACAAAATTCTTTTTTCCTCTTGTTCCTGAGCTCATGCCGATTCGATCGCACCCTATGACGTCATTTTCCGTCATAAAAAAACGGCCGCCATTTTGAATTTTCCAAAAAACCTACTTTTGCGAACTCGTCCTAGACGGTTTGTCCGATTTTCACCAAAATCGCACCGGATCATCTCCAGGCAGTGCTGACAAAAAGTTATGGAATTCAAGATGATTCGAATAACCGTTTTCGATAAACGCGTAAACAAAATTTACGTAGCGCTTGCGAAAACAGACGTGAGGTTGTATCTCCGCAACGCTTACTCGTTTTCACACCAAACTTGGTACGTGTTATCACAAGCATGACCTGAGGCTACGTGCTGCGTTTCGGCGCAGCGCCACCTAGTGGTCCGGAGATATGAAAAATGGCTATTTTTGCTCGTAACTTCTGAACGGTTTCTCCAAAAATCAAAAACTTGGTCTCGTTAGATTCAGGGCGTCATGCCGAGTCGACCGATATCCAATTTTCCCAGATCGGCCATTTTGGCTGTCGGCCATTTTGAATTATGTGCTAAAATGCTGTATTTTTTGAACGCATGAACGAATTGTTACGAAACTCGTTATGGGTCATCAGTACGATGCCCTGAAGGAGCCTGAGAAGTTTCGAAACAGCGCCACCTAGTGGTGAATTTTTTTTTTCAAACGCTTATAACTTTGGGTGTGGTACACTTATTTTCACGGGAGTCATATTTTTGAGGTCCTGAATCGTTGCCGAGTCCAACGATACCAAATATGTCGGGTTTCGTCTCACGGATGGCGTAGCGTAGCGATTTAGCGCGAAAAAAACACTTGGCGATATCTTCAAAACCGCTGTTCCGATCGAGACGAAACCACCGCCAGAAACACGGAATCATAGCTTGTTAACTATACGCTAATGCCCAAATGCGTAAATATTGATAGTAAGGGGTAGTAAAATTCAAACAAAGTCATGTGTCAGTCATTTTTTACGTGTTTTTTCATATAAATGTTTATAACTCGGAAGTAAATTGAGATATTTTGCACCAAAATTGACACACATATGTATGGGTCACTCTGAGGACACAAAAAAATTGTGGGACTGAGCCTCTTGGTGGCGCTATAATAGAACAAAACGTGAAATTCCCATTGACTTCAATACAGTTTTGTGAAATACAATGCTATACTAAACAAATGCTTTGGTCTAACATTACGAAACTCAGTGTGTGCCATAAGCAGCATGCCCTGAAGGTACTCAAAAGATTTTGAGACAGCGCCACCTGTTGGTCAAAAGTTATAATTAATTTCTGAGAACGCTAATAACTTTTGAATAAATTTGCCTATTGCAATGAAACTGATCTTAATAGATTCCTTGGGTTATGCCGAAAACATAGATATCAGGTTTTGCATAATCAGACAAACTTCCTGTCCGCCATCTTTATTTCTTTGAAAAACCTTCTTTTTCGAACTCCTCCTAGACCGTTTGTCCGATTTTCACGAAAATTTAATCGTATCATCTCCAGACCGTGCCGACTAAAAGTTATGAATTGCACGATGATAGACAAAACCGTTTTCGTATACCACAGCATCAAAGTTTAGGCATGCTGCCAAAATTACTATTTAGGCTTTATCTCTGCAATGCCTTCACATTTTGACACCAAACTTTGCATGTGTCATTGTCACCTCACTCTGACCACATCACATCTATTTCGTAACTGCGCCACCTATTGTTCGAAAGTGATAACCCATTAAATCATCTTATAAGTTAATGTTTATGTGATTTTTTTAGCCATTTGCCCAAAGTTCTCTCAAAATGCCCTTAATTGCTCCTTGCTGCAGTTGGTCTGCCACTCCTTGCCATTTTGGCATATGTTGCCGCTTCTTGCGCTTGGCCCCGGTAATGGCTGCTTGCAGCTATATTATTATTATTATTCTTCTTCCGACTGGGCGTCTATGGCAGCCCATAGACCGGTTTGCGGGAAAGTTGTTTTGGTTTGACATTCTGATAGAGGACAGTCCCAACTTTAAATACACCAATTTTGGTGTCTCTAACTCATTCCCTCTAGCGCCACCAACTGTCCAAAGTTTCACTTTTATTATGCTAATAACTTTTGAACCGTAAGGCCTATCAACAAAATTCTTTTTCCTCTTGTTCCTGAGCTCATGCCGATTCGATCGCACCCTATGACGTCATTTTCCGTCATAAAAAAACGGCCGCCATTTTGAATTTTCCAAAAAACCTACTTTTGCGAACTCGTCCTAGACGGTTTGTCCGATTTTCACCAAAATCGCACCGGATCATCTCCAGGCAGTGCTGACAAAAAGTTATGGAATTCAAGA